TCCCCAAGCATCATGTGCCAATGCTTTAACACTCTTGCAGAGAAGTCTTTCCTCATATCCAGCCTGAATCCCCAGCCTTGCACACAGCTATGTTTGGGTGAGCACTGCAGAACAGCCATGAACGCTCACTTAAATGCCTCATGGCTATTTTGGATTCAGCCCTATTCCTATTTTTTTGTTAACTCTTCTGGTAATATCCATGAAAATGGAGGTCTGTTTGCACGAACATTCAAGGAATGAAAAGAAAAGCTCCCAAAGGTATCCCCTAGTTAGTCTCAAAACACTTTTTTTTTTTTTTTTTTGGTAAGAAAAAGTAGTTTTCTGCTCTGCAATGGAGTGGCCATTGGGGACCATCTGGGGAGACCGAGCTGCATGCTGGGGCCACAAAGTCTGTGCTGTCTCCATTCATCCCCCCCCCCCCCTCCTGGGGAAGGCTGTTTGCTGCTCTGACTGCCTGTCAGAGGCTCTGCCTGTTCCAAGGACACCCCGCTGGCTCGTGGCATGTCTTTATTTTTTATTTTATTATTTTTTTATATAATATATTTCTGTTTGTGTGTTTTGGGGTGAGGGAACGGGTATAAATCCATTGTCTTTCGTCACCTTGTTACGATCTAACGGGGGGTAGGGAGACAGTGGCGTTTCCCTGTATTGAGCACTTTAATTCATGATGATTTCTTAGACTTGATCTCCTCTGATATGTCGTCAGTGTTTGCGGTCCACTGTTTTGGCCGCGTACAGTTTGGGAAACAAAGAGCGAGCTGTGTGTTTGGATCCACACATGGTTGGCATTAGGAGCAAGAATGTGACTTCCCATCTGAAGCAGTGAGGCTGAGCCACGGCCACGCCATAAATATCCCCAAATGGAGCTGATAGCAGGAGCACATGGAGCAGCCCAGTGGGATGGCCCCAGGCTCAGCCTCGTGACTTCACGTTCCCTCTTCCTCCCATTGCGTGCTGCATTCACACCCAATTCTTCCTATGGCCGCGTCCAGCCGGGCTGGGGAGAAAATGTCGTTGTTGGGGTCATATTTGTTTCTTTGGGGTCATTGTTGGGGTCATGCTGAAAATGGGCTGAACCAGCGCTCCCATCCCTTCCATTCTGAGTACTGAAGTCCCTTGGAAACCTTGGCCATCCCTTCGGTCAGGGTTCCTTGGTGCTGTTTTCAGTAGGTTGGGTTTTTTTTTTTTCCATTTTAGAGCTCACGCCACTTTCACACATTTCCTGTCCTATGCAGAAAGCATCACTCAGTCTGAAAGTCAATGGTGTGAGCTGAGTGCTGCTCTGCAGTGCCTTCCTGAGAAACCGCGCTGGATGCTGGAGCAAATGCTCTTCCCAGCCAAGTCTGGCTGGCTTTCAAGAGATTTAGTTTTAATTGTTGGCCGAAAACCATCAGCCTTGCCCTGCTGCTGGACCAACACGGATTTAGAGACAGGCTTTGTCATGGTTGCAGTGTGCCCTTGGGGCACCTGGGCAGAACCACCATTCATCTTGGCTTTGCCCACTCCATCCTGGGGTTGGGATTGCTGTGGGGTTGAGGGAGGCATTTTGCATTTTTCTATGCAATAAGACGAGAAAAATTCCTCTGTGCTCACGCAAGATGTCTGCAGTGGGAGTGGGACAGAGTGGGGATCTCCTGGGGGGCTTCAACCGCAGCATCCTCCTTGGCTCTTCCATTTCTGAAATTGCTTTAAATTTTATTTTCTTATTTATTCTATTTTTTTTTTTTTTTTTTTTAAGAGAGCGGGACAGTCAATGCGTCTGCAGTCTGGGGGTATTTTCCATAACATAAACATATTAAACGAAAAAGAAAAGGGAAAATAAAAAGAAACAATGATTTTCCATTCCTGCTGGAAGAAGCGAGCGCCTTTGGAACATGAGGAATGGATTACACAAGCTATTGTAAAATAAAATATAAAAACAACCAAAATAGGAGAAGGCAGAGAGATTGTTTTTTAAAGAAGAAGCCGTCCTCAGTGGGGAAGGGAGACAGAAAAAATGTGCTTTTTTCAACAGTCCCTGTTGTGCAGGGAGGAACCTGCAGGAGCCCAACCTCTGCCTTTGGGATGGCCAAATCCTGGATGGGAGGGCTGCAGGGGAAAGGCTCTGGGTCTGTATTTCAGTTTGGGAAGACAAGGGCTGGGCAGGGCGTTTTTTGTCAGTTGTGTGTGTTTGTCTGCTATATTGGGCTGTGATTTCACAACGCAGCATGGTTTGTGTTAAAATAGCTCCTAAAAAAATTAAAAAAAAATACAAAAATACAAAAACAAAACGGTAGGAATGATGTCAGCAGCACAACCCTGAGCCTGTGTCAGCCCTTGGACCAGAGTCTGCACTGCAGCCAAAGCCCTCCCAGCTCCTTGCACCCTCTGTACCTTCTGGGCCATGGCTGGGGATGGGCAGATGGGCTCCATGTGCCATTGGTGCCCGTGGTCACAACGTGGGGTGAGTTGGATGCTACAGATGGATGCATTTGCTTTCTGATCCCTGGGATGAGCACGTGGGTTGTTACGGGAGAGGCATGCTTGCTCCCTGCTGATCACTGCAGGGTCATCCCATTTCCAGCACAATGGGTATGCGTGGTGTGCTTGTGCTGCAGATGGATGCTTGATCCCATGCATAGAAACCTGCAGCAGTCACTTCTTTGCAGCCTGGCACAGCCTGGCAGACAGGAAGCTGCAGATGTGGGCTGTGCTGTTCCCTTTAAACTCAAAGCATATGCATTGAGATCATTCCGGGACGGAGCGCAGTGCCATGGTTTTGGTGACTCGAAGTCAGGAATAAACTGCTTAGTGGGGATTTGTGCCATTTTCTCTCATTAGGAGAGGGAGAAAGTGTTGGCCAGGGAATTTAAAGAGTAAATCAGATGTGCTGCTCCAGGATTAAGCCCTTGTTCCTCAGCTCCTTTGTACCATGGCTGCATTTTACTGCCCCGCTTTTGTGCCCAATTACCTTCAACCCTATAATTAAACACCTCCTTTCGTTAGCCCTGGGTCAGTTTGGCAAATCTCACAAAAGAAGCGAGCCCACCACTTTTTCCATGAGCTCAGCCCAAGTGCCAGCCTGGGCAGCAGCAGCCCAGGCCCCAAGCATGGTGGTGAGGCTGCAGCCAGGTCCCTATTGGGGTGGTGAGGATTCCTCTGGCACCATCCACTCCTCCCACATCAAAGCCCCAATCTTGAGAGCTCCACTGGCATTAAAGTCCCAAGCATGTGCTTCAAGCTCTCCCTGCCTCTGCAGCTTACAGGGGCCTCTAAATGGCACAGCATGTCAGACCCTCATTTGCTCCACATTAGTGCAGCCTGTTTATTATTGCACCTTGAGCTGGGCACGGAGCTGCACTTCCCTTGTTTGTTTTATTTTCCCCCCTAAAATTCATGGGTCTGCTCCTTGTTAGCTCTGCTTTGCCAGCTCTCCCCTGGTGGAGCTGTGTGTGGCAGCCCCAGGGATGGCAAACAGGGGCTTCGCTGCCTCTGCAGACATTGGGGTGGATGGAACCCATTGGCACGGGCTTCTTCGTGTCATTTGGGTCTGTTTGTGTCAGGGTTGCAGAGGTGTTTTGTGATGTATGAGAGACGAAGAGGACGGCTGGGAGACCTGAAGACACTGAGAGCCAAATCTGTGTGCTTCAGTCCTCAGCCCCTCCCCACCTGCTGCTCTCCCCATCACCTTCCTTAGGTCAGTTGGGGAACAGACACTAATTAAACAGCCCACGGCAGGGCTTGGAACTAGAATATCTTTGAGGTCCCCTCCAACCTCAGCCATTCTATGGCAGAGCTGTGATGATGGGGTGGGTTGGGATGCGCTCCTGCAATGGGGAATTCACACTTTGTGTCCCCAGACTTTGGATGCAGACATTCCACCGCCCATCCCCACCACCTCACCATGGCTGTGGCTGCATTTCAGTGGGAGAGCAAAGCCAGTGAGACATCAAAAGCCCCAATCCTGCGAGAACGCAATCCCACTGACATAAATGGAAGTTGAGAGCGCTCGCTGTTGGCAGGGTTGGCTCATACGTGCATGTTTGATCGGCACAGCAGATTGAAATGTCAAGAATGTGAGCCTGCTGGGGCTCGCACTGCTTTCCTTGAGGGAGCATCACCCCAACGGGAGCCGGGCGCTCCTCGAGGCCAGATATGGGCCGTGCACTGGGCAGCGGTGCGGAGCAGGTGGTGATGCTGGGGATGGCACAAACACCATCACTGCTGCTCTGCAGATGGAAGCTGCAGCACTTGCTGAAGCCCATGAGCAACTTGTTCGGGGTCCTTGGGGAAGGCTGCGGTGGAGCTGCGAATTGAACCCAGACAACTTGCTTCCTCCGCCAATGTCTTCTCCCGGAGCCCACGCTTCCTGCCAGCGAGGGCCCTCTGTTCAGTTTTAGGAGAAAATGTAAAAATATTCTCTAAAACCACACGAGCTCTTCCAGTTTTGGAGGTTCAGGCGGTCCCTTCAGCCAGACGCAGAATGGCTCCGGCCCAAGGAAACAGCTGAGGTTGCGTTTCGCAGATAAGATCCCCGCTCTCCCCGCAGAGCTGGCTGCTCATGCGAGACCCAAAGCCACGACCGAGTTGTCTGGACAAGTTCTCCATTTCTCTGGGTTCCAGCCCTAACCTGCTGCTGAACCGCTTCGCTTCCCGGCCCGCGGCCTCGGCCGTGTCAGACAGCTGACCCAGGCAGACAGACAGCTCCAAACTGCTCAGAAACTTCTGCAAAAAGGAGCTCATTGCAGGGCTGGAGGCAGCGGTTCCCTTCCCAAGCTGCAGGAGATGGATGTGCAGCAAACAGTGACTTAACAACATCCCCTAAGCAGCTCTGCACTTGATTTGTCTGAGTTCATAGCCAGAAACCAGAAAAGTACCTTCTGTGTAGCTTTATGTTTGTGACTAATTCCATTCGGGTCAGGGGGGTTTTGTTGGGTGCCTGCATAGGGCGGTCTGAGCCCGCTTTGGGGTTTCTTTTCTGCAGCCATTCTACACCATCCAACTTAGCAGCTGGGGGGGGGGGGTGTTGGCAATGAGAATCTCTACTAGAAATACGAACAGAGAGCGTTTGCACCGGAAAAAATAATCCGAGGAAGGAGCAGAAGCAGCGCTGCCCAAAGCCCATCGAGTCAGAGCTGTCCGACCGCAGCCCCGCTGTGACATCGCAGCGGCAGCACAGCGCCCGGCCTTATTCGTAGAAGTGAAACTGGTGAATAATTGCAGAAAGCAAAGCAGCCTGGAAAAACAAAACAAACAAAACAAAACAAAAAAAAAACCCACGGTCTGAGCGTGAAGGACAATTTGCTATTGGAAGCAGAGGGCAGTTTTCTCTGAATGACTTCGTTGTGCGTTGGCCACTGACGGCTGTCTGAGGTTGAGCTGTGTCACTGGTGGGGAACTGCCTCTGCAGAATGCCACAGTCTGTGGACACGGCCAAGAGCAGGAGCTGATCCCATGGGGATGAGGAACAATTTGTGCAGGAGAAGCTGCTCATTTTGTGCAAAAAAAGGCCAATGTGTTGCAAGGAAGCGTGCAGGGCGTGATCGTGGCAGTGGCATTGCAAAGGGGCTGCAAGGCAGCCTGAGCTCTACGTGCATCACCTGCCCTGAGATATGGGGTGGCATCACTGAGCTGCTCGCCCGTGACTTCATGTCTTCCCTTGTAACTGGTGTGATCTGCAGGGAATCACTGAGAGTGATTCTGAGTGCATGTGACGTCTCTTTGGGGGTTTGGTGTGTCCCCAGTGTAGGTATATCACCAGGTGGGTGTGTAGGTATATCACAGCCCCCTGTGCTCAGCACTGTGCTTGGGAGGACCCCAGAAATGTGGGGGTGCTGGGTGAGCAGCTTGAACTGCAACATCGACCTGAGGCAGAAACAGAATGCAGAGAGCTGGGAGCTGCCCCTGGGGCCGAGCTGATGCTCACAGGCAGGAGCCTGCTGGTGTTGCACTGAGCAACACACAGCAGGGTGCAGAGATGTGCTGCTGCCTTCTTGTTGCACTCCTGCAGCCGGATGTGATCTACTTGCTGCGCACCTTGCAGCTTCTTCAGGCTCCACTGCTGCAATCTGTCTGTGCTTCCTGTCTGCCACCTCTGCTTTTTTTGCTTTGGTGGGGCTTTTCCACACTGTTCTCTTGCTGGATGACCACCACCACTCTGTGCTTGTGCAGCTAACTGCAGCCATCTGCCAGCAGACAGGTGGGGAAACCCTCACCTGGATGAAAGCAGTTGGGTTGGGCTTGCTGACAAACCGCGTATTCCTGGAGCAACTCCTGCAATGTGCATCCCTCCCAGCTGCTGGCTCTGTGCATCAGGGCTCTGCCCAACCCAGGCAGTAATTCCCTGCTGGGAGGGGATGGGGGAAAGCAGCTGGTGGGGGAGGAGGGCTGGATGTGGTTGAAATTCAGAGGGAGCTCTCCCATCTCCAGCACGAGGACATTCCAGGAAGAGCTTTGGAAATTAACAAAGTTGCTGCAAGGTATCTCTGCTGCCCAGGGGTCAGCAGGGTGAGGCAGCAGGAGCCCACCGTGCACTGTGGAGTGATGCACAGGGCCACCACAGAGAGCTGCTCTGTTGGCCCCCTGCTTGAAGGGCTGCTGGGTGCCCATGGGGCAAGCAGAGCAGGTTCCCTGTGCAGTGCTGATGTCCTGCAGAGAAGCTACAACTTAACCATGGCATGTTTGCACCTGCCTCTAAAGCTGGTTTTTGTTGAGATGCAACACTGGGATGCTCTATCAGACCTGAGCCAAGAGAGACAAGACTTCCAACCAGCGCCTGCTGCGCACCGCCAGCCCTGAGCCCCCATGTCTGCACCCACCCCCAGGGGGATTCCCAGCCAGCACAGCCCCAAGACAGCAACAGCTGAGCCTGCAGCCTGAGCACGGCCTGCAGTGGGGATGTAGGTGAGAGTGGGGAACGTGAGCACTTCCCAGCGGCCGCTTTCTCTCCGCTCACATCCAACTTCCCCAGCAGCCCGGGGGGAGCACTGCACGCCCGTCTGATGCCCAACATCACAGCAGCATTGGGAAATGCGTGCAGGGAAACACCACTGCACGCTCAGCACAGGGAGAGGGTGCTGCCCTTCCGTGACAGCCGCTCTCCTCGAGCTCACAAATCACACTCTGCTTTTTTTTTTTCTGTGTGTGTGCATTGGCCCCGCCGTACTTTTCTCGCCGTCATGTGCCTTTCGGTTCCGCTTTCCACCATCCAGACATTTCCCCTTTTTCTTTCCTTTGGAATTTTTTTTATTTCTCCCCATCGTGCCGTGAGGTTATGAAGGGCTCCGGGCAGTGCGTCCATCCCATGGTTTCTCTGGTTGGGAACGGGTGAGACACGTCCTCCATCCCCATAGGGTCACATCCCTCAAAACCCCTCCAAAACAAACAAGACCCCTCTACCCCCCAGAGACTCCAATAGCTCTGATTAAAGCCCCATGCTTCCAGTTGTTACCCACCTTGGGGCGTTTTTGGAGATGGGATGTCCTCAGGTGCTCCGTAACCTTTGCATGAATGGATCCTTTTCTCTGCATAAGCACATTCTTAAAGGAACATCAGGCTTTCATTCTCCACTTCAACCATTGCGCTTCTCTGTTCACTTGTTTAAATCAAGCATAAAGCTCTGACTGTTCTTTGAATATTTATGACCAGTTTTTATCTCATGCCATGCATACAAAACATACTTGATTTCTTTCCTAAAAGTTTTTTTCAAGTGCAAAGTTTTAAAAACATGTGGCTTTTATTGCAGGCAGGAATGAATAACAGCATTCCACCAGTAACCACATTAAATGGAACAGTAATATTCATATGCGTAAGGGCAAAAGCTGTCTTGTTTCCTATTTGCAGTTGAACTCTGAAATTAATTAAGAACTAAAAGGATCTGACAGTCATTAGGATCTTTTAAAGAAGGAGTGGAAATGGCAGATGGGACCCATGCTCACAAGGCTCTGCCATGCACTATCAATAGCACTGAGGATGAGCGCCCCGGACACGCTCTTCATTGCTGCCATTGTGCGCAGAAGAGAATCGTGGTTCTGAACAATGTAGAACAGTGCTTTCATGACTTCAGAACCACAGGATTCACGTCAATGGCCCTCGTGCTCCTCTGTGCATCACAGCCCATCCTGTCGGGGTGTGCACTGGGTGTGTGGGTGTGGGTGCTGCACGCGGCGCCTGCAGGATGGTGCAAGGGGAGAAGTGCATGCTGGCTCTGATTGCATGCTCTGTGCCAACAGCAGCAGCATTGCTGAGGCTGCACCCTGCAGCACAGTGCACAGCAATGACTAAAACCCTCCCCGGGCAGCATGGAGGGAATTTCACATTGAATTTCACATTGAATTTCACATTGAATTTCACATTGAATTTCCCAAGTGATGGCATTTTGGGCCAAAACTCCCAGCATTGCCTTCCTCCTTCTCCAGCTGCTCCGTGTGAGGATCCTGCCCGGCCCAAGGCTGCTGGTGCAGACAGCAAGGTGTGATGGGGTTAATGGATGTCCCCACTCAGGTTTTAGTGACAGCTGTGGCCGTGGCAATGGGTGCTGCAGGCATTGGGTGCCCATTGCCCCCAGGGCACAGCGGCCACGTGGCAGAGCCTGGTGCAGATGAGCTGGAGCTCATGAGCAGGACGACGCACGCAGCTGGTCCCAGCCTTCCCAGTGAGTTCTGTCTGGGACAGACGCTGCCTTTTCTCCCCACAGTTTCCCCCTATTTCTTCCCCCGAGCACCACAGCTTCCCTCCTGCAGGATCCTCCAGTTGCAGCACCCGTAATTGCCTCGAGAGAAACCCGTTTTGTCGGTGACACTCAGGGGTTAAAACTGTCACCATCGCACACCCCATTGGATCGAGCATCTGCTGTTTGATTTATGAATGAATAGCACGCTCCCTCCCTGCATGCTGCTCTCAGATCCCCATCCCTTCCCTACAAAACAGATCCAGACACCCGCATGGCCCTACTGAGCACTGTGCTCCTGAGACAGAGTTTGTGATGAATTTTTAATAGAAAGCTTCCTATAAGGCCCTGCGCCCGTCGAAGCGAGAGGCTCTGCTGCTAAATAGCAGCTCAGATGAATTACCAACTACAGAGGAGGCTGTGAGGGAAGCAAATCCCAACCAGTAATGATTTAAAGAGCCGCTGACCTCCCCGCAATGTGAATGGGAGCATCAGTGCTACAAGGAAGTGTGGGGCCACAAAATGAAGCACTGGGTTGTGGGGGGTGAGTCCACCTCCATTGCTCTGAAGGGGAAAAAGCCAATGGGGGAGGACAGAGGGTGGCTTTAGGGTGGCTGCTGGAGATGGGCAGGGTGTAGCACCTTGTGCACCTGGGAATATTCCCCCCCTGGGGACCAGCTCCTGGTGTTTGGGGATGGCATTTACTTATATGGCACCTTGAGGACACGGAGGTGGTGAAACTGGTATAAAAAGGGATTGGAGAACTTTGTGGGCAGCAGGGCTGTGTGTGGGCACTGATGTCTGTCACATCTGGGCGAGGAGGGAACAGCAGTTGGATGAAATGAAGGAAGCACCCAGGGTTGTGTCCTCGCTCTGAACAGCATCGCCACTCCTCACTGAAAGGTGCAGTGAGTTGGGCCAGACGAAATGTATTTGCATAAAGCTTAATGAAAGGCAAGAGCCTTCTAGGGAGGGCAGCGCTCACCCAGCCCTGCGCACAGCCGTGTGTCACCACACCAGCAGCTGTGAAACCCCCAAGGATTTCCCAGGGGTGTACAGAAGGGCTGAGACCCACTGTGGAATGGGGCTGCCCCATAGGACATGGGCTGCCCTATGCGAGCTCCCTGCCCTATGTGAGCACGTCAGCCCCACATCGGGTGCTCAGGCCTTTCCTGGCCACCCGTGGATGGATCATCTTCTCACTCGGTGGCTGCTGTGAAGAGGAAGGGAAGCGGGTGGGGAGCAGGCTGGGAGGAAGGGGCCGAGGTGACGCACTACGGGTTGTGCTCTGCAGGGATGTGGGCTTTTAGGCAGAGCCACTTTAAAGGCAGGTTCCCAGCAGGACAGGAAAAAAAGAGACAGGAAAGGAAGGAAATATAAAGCCACTAAACCTGGAACCGAGCATCGTGCTGACCCCAGGGCTGTCCCATCACTGTGTCTCGCTGCAGCGATGCTCCTTTTTGCCTCACTGCACCGGTTCCATCGGTCCCACTGCTCCGGTGAGGGAGAACCGGTGGGAAACCTCCGTGCCACCTCTCCGCCCGCAGCCCGGGGATGGGTCCGCTGGGGGTGTGTAGAGGGGAACGGAGGACTGAGGGAAGCCCAGGACCGCAGTCTCACCGCCTAACGGCCGTAAGACGTGAACGACATCCACAGAGAGCCGAGCGGGGGTTTTGCCGTGGCGGACCGCTGCCCCCTCCGCCCGCCCCGTCGCGGAACCGCGGCGCCAACGAGCGGCGCTTCGGCCGCACTGCAGCGCTGCCCGCCCGCGGGGCACTGCGCAGGCGCCGTGTGCCCCCCCCTCACGCTCACACCCTCTCCGTGCCACCCTCGGGGAATCCCACGGAGATCGGGGACGGGGGGGGGGAACAGAGCTCGGCCAAGACCGGCCCTCCCGCAGTGTGCCCCGGGCTCCGCGAGGGGCGGGAGGAGGGAGAGCGTTTCCCCCTCTCCCCCCCCCACCGCCGCTGAACGGGGGCAGAAAATAGCGCTGAGCGCAGCGGTGCGCGGGGAGCTTTCCCCTAAAAAGGGCAGGAGAGCGGCGGGATTTAACGGGGCGAGGGAACCTCCGCTCCTCCCGCACTGCTCCCTATTAACAGGGCGTCTTAAAAAAAGAAAAAAAAGGCAAACAAACAGAAAAAAGCAAACACGGGGTTATTTTTGTTTTCGTTCCTGTCCTCGGCTCGGCTCTGCGGGACGGGAGCGCGGCTCGGGCCCCTCCACGCGTTGCGGTTTGGGGAGAACAATGTTGTATTCGTTTACGGAGGAGCTCAGGGAAAGAAGTTTCAAAAGAAAAAAAAAAAAAGAACAGAAGGGAAGTTGCGTTCTGCACCGCTCCGACGTGCCCACAACGGCGGGCCGCCCCGCCGGACCCCCCCAGACGGGGGCAGACGCTCCGTGCCGCCCCCCCTGGGCTGCCCCCACCCGCCCCCGGCGCGTTTCTCCTCTCGGTTCGGCGTTGCCACGAAGAGACCGACGGCTCCGTTTCGTTCCCGCATACGCGGTCGCTTCGCTAACGACTGCGGTGGGGTTTGGCCCCACAGAGCGCTGCGGACACCCCGGGACCGCCGTAGAGTGGAGGCGGTGTCCAGAGGCGGAGAACAGCGGCTCTCCCCGCCCCGCGACGGTTGAGCTGCAGCGGGCGCACGGCCGATGAGCGGCCCCCGAAGCCCCGACGTGCGCTCCCTCAGCCCGTACGCACCGACGGGGCGGGACTCGGTAAGGCCGGCCCCACTTTAAGGGAGGCAACGCCCCTTTCGGCACTGCTCACACCCCTCTGCCACCCGGGAGCCGCGCGGGGGGGCAGGGGGAAGGCCCCCCATTGGTGAGGCTCCCCGTCACTCACGGCCGGCCCGCCCCCCCACCGGGGCCGGCAGTAAATACGGTGCCGGGCGGCGCGGCGGCACTGGGAGTTGCTGTCGGGGCCGCCCGGCGGAGGGGAGCAGCCTACAGCCCGGCCGCGACGTGGCTCTGCCGGGGCTCCGCGTTGCCGTTCCCCGGACGGGGCGGGCGGGACAGCGGCGAGGCCGCCGTAGGCGCTCCCCGGGGCCGGGAACGAGCAGCCCCCCGCACCGCCCCGCCGAGAACGGGGATCTACCGGGACGGGGCCCGGTTGCTCGCGGCGAGCCCCGCCGCTCTCCTCGCACCCCCCGGCCGCGGCGGCGGCTCCTTGACGCCCTCCGTTGTGATGCGTATTCCCGTAGATCCGAGCACCAGCAGGCGCTTCACACCCCCCTCCACGGCGTTCCCCTGCGGTAAGATGGGAGAGAACAGCGGGGCGCTGGGGGCCGCCGCCGCGGGCGGTCGGGCGCGGCCCGAGGTGCGCTCCGTCGTGGACGTGCTGGCGGATCACGCCGGCGAATTGGTGCGCACCGACAGCCCCAACTTCTTGTGCTCCGTGCTGCCGTCCCACTGGAGGTGCAACAAGACGCTGCCCGTCGCCTTCAAGGTAAGGGGCGACCTCCTTGGGGGGGCTCCGGGTGCCGCTCCCCCCTCTCGCCGCTTTCCCTCCGCCCCTCTCTCTTTAACTCGCTCCTGACATCACCTTGAGGAGAGCCGCTCTTATTATTTTTAATCAAGTCTCCGCGTTGCCCTCCGGTCACGGCATCTTAGATATTTCGTACAGTTAGGAGCTCTCAGGCAACTTTGAAGTGTAATGAGAGCGGAGGTTAATTACCTTTCCGAGAGAGAGAGAGGCAGGGACGGGAGAGCCGAGCCGGGAGCGGAGAACGAAGCGCCGCAGCGACGGCACCGCGGTGCGTTCGGACCGGGCGGCCCGGGCCGGGGATGAGGTGCGGGGCCGGGGGCGGTTCCGAGGGACCTGCGGGATGGGGGGGGGCTGCAGTGCGGGGCTGCAGTGCGGGGCCCGGCCCTGGGCACGTTTCTCCGCTGCGCCCCGAGTTCCGCAGCGCAGTTCTGTCGAATCGAACCCCCCCCAGACAGCGGCTCCCAGCTGTTGCAGGGCAGAGCCTCGGCAATCTGGAGCCCCTCGCTGCTTTCTAACCTCGGTTCTAAGCTCGCTTTTCCCTTCCCCTTCGTTTTCTTTTTTTCTTTTTTCTTTTTTTTTTTTTTTTTAATCTATCCTCGGGAACTCGACTTGCTTTTGGTTTTGCTTTGTCTTTGGGGAGGGGGAGGCGGTCTCGAGGGGAGGGGAGTCGTGAAGCGGTTCGGCTCAGACCTCGGTCACTTCAGCCTGAATTCCCCTCGTCCTGCCCTCAGGTCGTGGCTCTCGGAGACGTCCCCGACGGAACGGTGGTGACGGTGATGGCGGGGAACGACGAGAACTACTCCGCGGAGCTCCGCAACGCCTCCGCCGTGATGAAAAACCAAGTGGCGAGATTTAACGACCTCCGATTTGTCGGGAGAAGCGGCAGAGGTAGGTGTCGGCCGGGTCGTCCTGTTCGGGTTTTATTTTCTTCCAGGAAAAAAAAAAAAAAAGAAAG